ATATATATATATATATTTGGTTGGATAGATGTGAGTTTGTGACCCTGGGTTTCACGCTTTAGCGATCGTCAGACAAAGATATTTTTATTTTTACAAAATAGTGCTCAATGTAAATTTACAGAGCATTAATATTATAAATTAATTGATTTAAAATATGGTTCCGGTGTTCTTATAGATATTTTTATTTTTACAAAATAGTGCTCAATGTAAATTTACAGAGCATAAATATTATAAATTAACTGATTTAAAATATGGTTTCTTCACTACACAGGAATTACCATGTTTCAAAAACCGAACCTAAAAACTTCAAATTTAATTATATGATTAAATTAAAAGCATTAGTTCTGTTTCATCTTAAAGCAAATTTTGGAACTGACAAGTTGCATAAGCTTTTTCTTTTTTCTTTACTGGACACAAAAAAAAGAACTGTCCAAAAGTTCTGCATATCTGAGTGCTTTTAGCCATTCTTTTAGCCATTTTTATTCTTAACTAAATATGTGGGTAATGTATGTGTCTAAAGTTATAGGAATATTTTCCAAATACAGTCATAACGTTGTGACTGTGTTCATAGTTAATGTTATTCAGTGTTGACGTTTTCATTTTTTTCCATTATTTTTAATCTCTTTTTACATGTGGATGAGATTATTATACTTGTATTTTCTACTAGTATGTTTCAGATGAAGTCTGGCAGGTTTTTTTGTGTATGTGTTTAAATCAGTCTAAATGGAGCTATGATCAGATAAGTGTCATATAAGTAATAGTGTTGCCAATGTAATTATTTATGAGTTTGGTTTGATCAGGAGTTTTGAACTTATAAATAATGTTGGTTCTTTGTAGGTTTGATTTTGCAAGTGTGTTGTTATTTTTGATAAGGTTAGCTGTTTTAAATTTTTTTATAATAATTTAATTTTCTTGTTCAGATTGACTAGAGTTGTGTATTTCTTTATGATATTTCTAACAGAAAATTCATCTTTCTAGTTAACATTTATTTCACTTTTATTAAATATGTTAATGTTATTGTTTTTATCTGTATGTTAAGTATTGCTGTCAGTTACTTTAGAAAGAAATAGTCTAATCTGGTGGTCGATGAGGTAGTTAGAGAAACCATTGTTAACTAGTGTGTTTTGCTTTAAGGAAAAGTGAACGAAAGTATGAATTTCTATGTGCTCTCTTTAAAAAAATTTTTATAACTTATTGCATATATGTGTGTATTTGGGCAGCAATCCCCCTTTTATACAAGTTTTGTTAAAAATGATTGACAAGGCATTGAAATTAAGCATTTTATTTAATTTTTCTTGTGTTCATACAAGTGTTTTCTTTTCTGGACACAGTGTGTAAAAACTGTCCAAAAGTTCTGCATATCCAAGCACTTTCGGCTATTCTTTTAGCCATTTTCAAGGACGATTTTTATTTTTTTTATTTTTAACTGAATGTGTGTTTTTTTTTATGTATGAATCTGAAGTTATAGGAATGTTTTATTTTCCAAACATGGTCAGTACATTGTGACCATGTTCATAGTTAATGTTATTCAGTGTTGACTTTTTCTTTAGTATTATTAGTGCTTCCATTACTTTGTTTGTCTTTATTTATTTTTTAACAGGTGGATGAGGCTTATTACACTTGTATTTTCTAGTAGTATATTGTAGAAAAAGTTTGGTTGGTTTCTGTGTGTGTTTAAATGAGTCCTAATTGAGCTATAGACATTGTCCAGAAAAGAAAACACTTGTATGAAGACAAGAAAAATTTAATAGAAAGCTTAATAACAGTACCTTGTCAGTAGTTTTAATGAAACATACATTATATACAGGGTGTTTCAAAAAGAATATGCCAAAATCATATCGTGATATGTCAAAAACGAAAAAAATTACAAACCTCTAGCATGAACACATGTGTTGTATATACATTCAAGTTTCATTTCATGTTTTATAAGTGCTCAATGTGGCCACCACTGGCAGCACAGACAACATCAAGCCGATATGAGAATTCCTCCCAAACGCGCCTCAGCATGTCACGGTCTACCGTTTTGATTGCAGCTGTTATTCAATTTTTCAAGTCATCGATACTTGCTGGAAGTGCTGGAACATAAACTTGGTCTTTAACATACCCCACCACAAGAAAATGGTCACACACAGTGAGATCCGGGGATCTGGCAGGCCAAGCACAGAGAGCAAGGTCTTTAGCACCTCTCCTCCTAATCCATCACTGAGGCATGTTTTCATTCAGATAAGCTCTAACCCCGAGATGCCAACGGGGTGGTGCTCCATCTTGCTGAAAAATGAAGTCATTCGAATCTCCTTGCAGTAAAGTGAATAGCCATTTTGGAGCATTTCAAGATAGGTTTGTCCTGTTTTAGCTGCACCGAAGTTATACTAACGACAGCGGTGAAACTGACATGATCAAACTTTGATAACTACTCTATCAAATAACCACTGATTCAGTCCGCTACAATGCTATAGACCTGAAAAAACAGTGTAATGATTTTGGAGTATTCTTTTTGAAACACCCTGTATATATATATATATATATATATATATATATATATATGGGGTGTGATGGACAAATAGAAATCTAAATTATGCAAATATGAAAATAACACTGACAGCTCATTTTAACAGATATAGTTACCAAAATTACACAAAAATATTTTGAAATACTAAAGAGTAAATTTATTCAATAAAATCACCATTGGCTTCAGCCACGGCTTCCACACAACTTTGGAATCTCCTGCAGCTTTTCTGGATGGTCTCCTTGGTGAATGCTGCTATATTCCTTGTCTTGTTCATCTTTGGTATTATAAGGAGTTTTCTTGGTCTCTCACTCAACTGCACCCCACATATAATCATCATGAAGGTTACAGTCTGGGGAGTAAGGTGGACAGATGTAAGGGAGTGATGCAGTCACAGAAATTGCCTGACAGATATGTCTAGGTTCTCCTACGTGTGGCATAGTGCAGAGTCCTGTTGCCAAACATAGGGTCTTCCAGCAGCCACTCTCTTCACCCAGAAGCAGCACTACCTTCTCAAGGCATTTGATGTAGGTCACCTTGTTGAGTCTGAGACCATGTAGGAAGATGAATGAAGGCATAATGTCTATCACTAGTGACCACTCCAAACACCTTCATAATCACCATTAGTATCATCCAATTGTTTCCGAATGCTCAGAACTGTCCTCAGATTGACACCCAAACACTTTGAAATGTTTGTATTGGAGCTTCCAGCACAAATACCAAGCAGTACAGCATACTGTTTCCAAATTTCTGGCCAAGTGAATTGCATCATGGTGATCTTTTCTTAAAGACAGTGCCCAAATGACCTTACTATACTGTGTGGTCACCAAAATAAAAAAGCAAACAACATGCATGTGCGAAATTGAAAATATAACATTAGCGAAAATTTACCCATCACACCATTTTTATATATATAATAAAAGTGTTGATTTCAATGTTCACTTTATATATATATATATATATATATATATATATATATATATATATATATAGTGCTACTGGCATTTGTATACATCACATATATAATACATTAAAAATTTCCCTTTCTCTGCCATGTGCTGATAGCTTAGGGGTAGAATCTCTGACTGATGACAAATTGGGCAAATTTCGATCCCAGCATGTCTAACCACACTGATGAGCTGTGATACAGGCTTGTGCGTGGAGGACTATATATATATATATATATATATATATATATATATATATATATACACACTAAAAAATATAACATTTAAACAAATTAGAAATATCTATTTTAAAAATTTATGTTATTTTAGTGTGTGTATATATATTAAATATTATATTTAAATCTTATATATGTGTATATACACACACACATTATTATATATATATATATATATATATATATATATATATATATATATATATACACACACACAAGTGTGGGAAAGTGTTAAAAAAAAACAAAACTAGATTCTCAAAATCATTCTTATATTTCTTCATACATTGAAAATGGCTTATGCCAAGAAATTTTCAGCACACTTTCATGCGTGTGTGTGTATTTTTATATATATATATATATATATATATAACATATTTTGATTATACTCCACCACCTAAAAAAAACAGTATTAATGCAGGATCCAAATCTTCAAAAGTCTCTCAGATATGGACAGTAATTAACCTTGCATTCTTCTCTTCAACTTGCGGCTTCCCAAGACCAGAGTGCCTAATCTGAGGTATTTATTTACAAAGAGATGTCTAATATGTCTATAAAAACCTAATTATGTTAAATATTTCAAACACTTAGAATGAAAAAAAAAAAAAAAACAAAAAATAATACCAGGAAATTAAGAACAAACAAAAGATGCATTGAAACTTCAAGGCATTTTTAGATAAAAATAAATTCACATTCATTATGCTTATTCATGCAGAAATCTTATTTAAGCATTTTTTGCTATGACTACTGATTGCCCATATATGGGATGTTATGAATGGCTAAAACAGAAACTGTGACTATATGACTTTTAGAACTGGAAAGAAAAAGAGAAAAAATACTGTAGTAATTTTATTTAACCAAATCTCTCTCATATATATATATATATATATAAAGAAACATATATTTCGAAATTTTAACAATACAAACCTCTCAACAGACTAATAGAGGGGATGGGTGGTCAGCTAAAGGTGATTGTCCATAGAAGGGATTATTTTTGAGTTGTAAAAGCACTATTGTAACTAAAAGCAGTTATGATCATAATGTAAATACATATATATGGTATAAATAAATATATACTTAATATAGATATATTAATCAAACAACAAAAATAGATTTCTCACAGCTACTTTCTCAAGCATGTGCTAATGTATCGTACTTTATATACTGTACACCCATCTTTGTTTACAATTTAAGGCCAGCCACCAAGAGGTCACTTTGAGAACCAATACAACTCCTTCCGCTAAGCCTGCAAGTTTTGAAATACATCACTGACGATTTAAAATTTTTTTTTCCTACATAACTTTTTTATTTTGCCTACAGTGAGAGAGAAAAATAGAGGCGAGTGAGAGAGAAAAAAAATAGAGAGAGAGGTGAAAGAGAGAGATATAAATAGAGTGAGTGAGAGAACGCGAGTGAATGAGTGAGAGAGAGAACGAGGAATGAGTGAGAGAGAACGCGAGTGAATGAGTGAGAGAGAACGCCAGTGAATGAGTGAGAGAGAGAACGCGAGTGAATGAGTGAGAGAGAGAACGCGAGTGAATGAGTGAGAGAGAGAACGCGAGTGAATGAGTGAGAGAGAGAACGCGAGTGAATGAGTGAGAGAGAGAACGCGAGTGAATGAGTGAGGAATGAGAGGAATGAGGAGAGAGAGAACGCGAGGAATGAGTGAGAGAGAGAACGCGAGTGAATGAGTGAGAGAGAGACCGCGAGTGAATGAGTGAGAGAGAGAACGCGAGTGAATGAGTGAGAGAGAGAACGCGAGTGAATGAGTGAGAGAGAGGACGCGAGGGAGAGAGGACGCGAGGGAGAGAGGACGCGAGGGAGAGAGGACGCGAGGGAGAGAGGACGCGAGGGAGAGAGGACGCGAGGGAGAGAGGACGCGAGGGAGAGAGGACGTGAGGGAGAGATGACGTGAGGGAATGAATGAGAGAGAAAGTGAGTGAATGAGAGAGATGAGATAAAGCAAGTGGGAGAGACAAAGCGAGTGAGAGAGAAAGAGAGAGCAAGTGAGAGAGAGAGAGAGAGATAAAGAGTGAGTGAAAGATAGGTATCTTTCCTTATAGAAACTGATGATGAATACAAATAGTGGCTGATGTAAGGAACAGTTTCGTCCATTCTCTACAACTTTATCCACACAGATGATCAAATTCTCAACAATCCATGAAACACAAGTGATTCATATTTGTTTGTACATTGACATTCTCTACAAAAAGACATGGTTTTATCTACCACTCCTGTTCACCGACATACCTTTGTTTCCTGGCAGCCAATATTTTTAAACCCAGTCTGCTACTGGAATGAGACATTCCCCTCCCACTCAAGTCTGGACAGCCACTATCCTGGGCTGAGCAATAAAAGTTGGAAAAAAAAAAAAAAAACAATTTTTATAAATTCTAAAATAATCAGATAATATTTTGGTAATGAATTATTCTTAATTTTTTTTTTGCTAAAAATTTTTGTAAAAATATTTTGTCCCTTTGTCACTAAATTAAAATATACATACATACACACACATACAATTTGAATAAAATTGAAATAGACATCTGTGTCATGAGGGTTAATTTTCCTGTCAACAAACCCAAGGAAAACAGTATAAGATGAAATATACTTGGCTTTGAAGTCATTTTTAGGTTTCCTTCCGTATTTAAACTCAATATATTTTCTAACAAATGTAATATTTTGAATGACAATTTACATTTAAAATTTGATTATCTTGTCGTCAGTGAAACAGTGACAGGTACTGAACTAGTAAACTAAAAAGTAATATTTTGCGTTCAGAGTTGTGGAAATTTTAATATAAATCAATCACTAGTTATCTACCTTGCATCTTTCACATTTTTATTAGATTACAGGTTGATTTAAAAGTCGCATTCCGTACGCACTTTTAAGCTAGCTACTGCGGAGGATTAACTGGGCTTCCGGCCCAAAACTAAATGGACTCTGGTCCAGCTTAGAAAACAATGATAATTTTGAATAAATAACTTTGAATTCCTCAGTTCACTCCATGGAAGTTCAAAACTTCACTTTAACTCTGATTCGAACTGTAAGTCCTATTCCGGATGAAAGTCCGATTTGGTGCGAAATTCCAATTCATGCAGAAAATTCTCCAAATAATAAACTCTGTGGAACTTCAAAACCTCACATCACTTTAACTATGATTCCTTGGCATTTTGAAGAAAAAACTGATTTCCTCAGTTCAAAGTTTGTTTTTTTTTTGTTTTTTTAGATAAAACTTAATTTAAAAACAAGATTATTTTTTTTTAAATTCACGAAGTTTTTGCTACTTTAGTAGTTTAAACTCAATATAAATTAAATACTATTTTTAAAAATTTACTAATTTTTATCTTTTCAGTTATTTTAAAATTTAATTTTTTAACTGTTCCATCATCATCTTTTGAGTCTACCAAATTATGGCACCAACCCCCCCCCCACCAACCAGACCCTGAAATTACCCCTAGGGGGAATTCCCCACTGGTTGAGAAACCCTGATTTAAAGGATACTGCTCTTAAGTAGGAGGTAAAGTTAAACCAAGATAAAACTGGGAATCTATAGTATGCATGTAAAGTAACTGTGTGTACATCCATCTATATAAATAAATAAGTGTGAATACCAGTGTGTCACGGTTTTTCAACTTTACTCCTAGGGTCCATAGCCTAACATATACCATTTTGGAATCAGGCCAACTCTGTGAGCAAATTAAGAACATTCTGGACTGGATTCAGACCCGCAATCCTGAAATTTTAGATTCCCAAGTTTTCATTACTGTGATTGTTTTTGGCAATTTTTTTGTATGTGATTTTTTGCAACAAATTTTTTTGTATGATAACAATCTTTATAATGTGGAAATAAATTTGGGAATAATTGAAATTAATTGCAGAAGTCACTCATGAAATAAAAATAATTATCTATATGGAAAGTAAAGACTTGCATACATCAAATTATCTTTAAATTAAATGGCGGTAGAAGAATTATTGCTGAACTTTTAAAAGGCAAGCTTAGATATTAATGCAGTACTTAAATACAGCAATCAATTTGAGTTCTTCTGTAGTCTATTGTTGCGTATCACATATGGCAGCAGTATGCATCGCAAAAAGAAATCTGCACCAACAGAGGACAAGATTGCAATCAAAAGAGCCAAGGTTGCAGTGAGGAAAAGAAAGTCTCATGCAAATGAAAACCCAGATCAAACAGTAGTTAGGAGAGCTTCCAATGCTGAGAATATGCAAAGACTTAGAGACACTCAAACTCCTGAACAAACCAAAGGCCCAATCAAGAGCTCTCTGCAGGAGTTAGCTTAATTGCCACTTGATAGAGCAGTTTTAAGCTAGTTTAATAATAGAGGAATGCATTTTTTAGTGAAAATAATGTTCTAAAAAAAAAAAAAAAAAAAAAAAAAAAAAAAAAAAAAAATAATAATAATAATATATATCTATCAAGTAATTTCTTCCTCTATCTACAGTCAGATCTTTACCATGTAAGCCTCTGGCTAGGTGGGCATAGAACTAGACATGACATCAACAGACTGAACACATTAAATTAAGAAAGGAGAAGAGTAAAGAAGGGAAGAGAAAAGAGAAAAGAATAAGGAGAAGAAAAAATGAAAAGAGATAAAAAGAGAAGAAAAAAATGAAAAAAGAAGAAAAAAATGAAAAAAAAAAAAAAAATGAAAAAAAAAAAAAAAAAATGAAAAAAAAGAAAAAAATGAAAAAAAAAAAAAAAATGAAAAAAAAAAAAAAAAAAAAAAAAAAAAAAAAAAGAAAAAGAAGAAAAAAATAAAAAAAAAAGAAAAAAATGAAAAAAGAAGAAAAAAATGAAAAAAGAAGAAAAAAATGAAAATGTAGAGAAAAGAGAAGTAAAATATAATTAAACAAAAAAAGTTATTAAATGCATCATTTTATTATACTGTAATCAACAATTCTACCAATTCTAATCTTTTAGTTGCATGTTTTCCTTTTCAATTTATTAGACCCAAACATAAGAAAATTAAACAATGTTTTCTGCACCTTGAGTAATAACTGTTGCAAAAAAATTCAGCAACCCAAGTACTGGTCAAAATCATAAGTTGCTTATAAAGAAAAAAAAGTGTATGATTCAATAAATTTATGATTTCTTATAGGAGCCAAAAATCCCATCCAGACCTTCTGTATAGGAAGGAATTTAATATCCTACTCACCAGAAGGGTCTTTCAGTTAGTAATAATAAATATTAATTGATGCAGTATTTGATGACAGTAGTAATGCATCAAGTCTCAGATCAACATTAAAATGGATTATCAGACAAAATCACCCACCAAATAGTCAAAGGAAATTTCAAAAGTATAGCCCAGGCAATTCCAAGTAACCTTGTTAATGTCTACAACAAGTAAAAGTTTTTCTCTGAAAGAGAGAGTTGCTTTAACTTGAGTAACTTGTGATTTATGGGTTGGTCAATCTGTTGGTGTCATTATCAGGTCAGAAGGAAGCAGAAAATCCAACCTGTGGTGCCTGACCTCACATGACCTCCACCACTCCCTGAGGACTCAAGGAAAAAAACAGGAAATTTTACAAATAACTCCAGAGAAGAACAACACAATGCAAACCCAGTACCTCCAACCATTACAATTTGACAAATACAGACAATTACAGATATTGTATATTTGGGTAGCAACCTTTCTTTTATACATGTTTCATTAAATATTACAGACAAGGGAAATTTTATAAGTTTTTCTACAGCTCTCCTAAGAGAGTGTAGGATTTGCAATATATTGATTCAGAATAAGAAATTGGATAGCCAAATTCAAATTGCAGTCGGGTGTGTGACATTGACTTATGCACAAATACCCTTGGGAAAATTATGAATCCATCTCTTCTCCCCCAGCTATGGGTTAAATAGCAGGATGGACTGTGTCCTATAAGATTGGTTGGCAGCCAGTCTAATACAGAAAGAAACAGCAGTTTACTGTGAGAATATCTTCTGCCTAATCAGTCATAAATTGAAAGACACATGATTGCCCAAGTGTGTATCACAGATAGCACTTAACTGACTGAAGGGAGTGTAGCAACTGCGTGAATCCTCTTCTTCTCCCTCCAGCTATGGGTAAATAGCAGGACAGACTGGGTTCTATAGCCTTGGATGGCAACTGGTCTAGGAGAAGGAAAACTCTAAATTCAAAACCTGTGGAGGGTCGTTTGGGGACCTTGTGGCATGTAGTGCACCAGGTCTCTGTAATCGGCCCTTCAAAATGTGTGGATGGTCCTGCACGAAACTTTCACCACTATAATCAAATCTCATGTGCTATACATGCGGGTTGGGGACTGCTTGTGAATTCCAAATTCCCATGAAACTCCAATATTGGAGCCAGCTCAACCCACCCTAGGTGAATGCTGTTACACGAACAAGAAGAGAGAACTGTCTGTAATGGTTATTGTTTCAAGTGCCTTAGGCCAATTCATCAGCTATTTTCAAAGGGGTTATTAATATGTTTTAGAGTGTGTTCTAACTTGTACTGCAAAGAAATAATGGAAATTCTAAAATATACTTTAAAAAAATGTAGTTGTGATTCCATCTTAGGGAGTCTTTTAAAAGATAGCCAACACAATTGTCAAATAGGCTAAGGTTGAGGTTTATCTTAAATTATTTTATATAAAGAGACTCGATTATCTTAAAATGTCCTCTACATTAACCAACCTTTAATCCTCTAGGTCAGGCCTGCACAAAATACACCCTGCCATTTGCATGTAACATGCAAGACTATCCAGTGAGACTCCATGATGGATTTTCAAATAGTTAATTTTTCATGTTAATTAGAATAAGTTGAGTGACTGATCATTAAAGAAAAATTCATTTTTATGGAAACTTGACTTTATTCAGTATCTGTCTATATTTCTGAGATGAGGTATTATTTGCACCCGAGATGAGGTATTATTTACACCCGAGATGAGGTATTATGTACATTATTTATTGTCCTCATCCACTGTGTCATGTGTTGCAAGGACACATGGCACAGTAGATAAAGGCGTTGGTTAGATCCAGTGATAGGACCTAAAGATTGTGAGTACAATACCCAGTTAAGGCAGTGGAGAATATTCAGAGGGAAATTAACAGGAGATAACTGATAACTGACATCCATTAAACA